CAATTTTTATGTACTAGATAACGGTTCGATTTTGTTGTGATTTTGTCAGAAACTAAAAACTTAAGGCAGAAACCAAAAATACACTCTTTTATCAGATCACTTAGAAGTTTTCTTAGAAGTTTTGGAAGCAAGTTTCTGAAATTGAATTTGATGAAAACAGAATCGGTACATGAAATCAGAAATGGATACCGGTTTATATAGAAAACCCGGTTTATTAGGGTTTGTCTATATATATACACATTAAGTTTCGTTAAATCTTAGGGTTTTGCTCTGAAACTATTTCACTAACAAGAAGCAGCACAGAGAAACAGAGATCAAGATGGGTAAACCCGTACGGTGGTCTGATTTACCTAAAGAACTCGTCGATTTAATCGCTGATCGATCTTCCTACATCGATCATCTCCGTATCCGTAGCATCTGTAAACCCTGGCGTTATGCGGTTGCGACCAAAAAGCGTTTCTTCAACCGCTTTAAGCGCAGCCTTGTTGGTTCTTCCAATTCCAGTAGGAGGAAAAAGAGTGACCTCTTACCCAACACTTTCTTCCGTGTAACTCAAGCTTCTTCTTCGTGTCCTAACAAAGGATGGCTGATCAAAACCAGACAAATCTCTGAATCAAGTAAGATTAATCTCTTGTCTCCTCTTTCTAATGAGCTCATAACTCGTTCAGACAAAACCCTAGATCTTTTGAAGTTCGGGGTTTCAGATATTCGTCAATCTTACAACGTTCAATTCTTAAAAAGCAAAGTAAAAAATTACGTGATTCGTCTAGAGTTGTTTTAGTAGACAATCATGTTTTCGTAGTGGACACAAACAAGCAGATCTGGTGCAACACGATTGTAGAAGAAAGTTTTAAATGGACAAGAATCGAAAACAAAAATGTTGGAGAATTCTCGGACGTTATACTTCACAGAGGACAAGTCTATGCTTTAGATTTAAAAGGCGTAATTTGGCGGGTTAATAATAATTTAGATGATCTCAACATATCTCAATACGGACCTTCAACTCCAGTGAAATATCGCAAGACCAATAATTGCAAAGACAAGAGACTTGTGGAGTATTGTGGAGATCTATGTGTGGTTCATCGTTTGTGTCAGAAAGTTCACATGCGAACTGATTTTGAGAGGACAATTGGTTTTAAGGTCTATAAGATGGATAACGAATTGGCTGAATGGGTTGAGGTTAGTTCCTTGGAAGACAAGGCACTCATTGTGGCTACGGATAGTTGTTTTACGGTCTTAGCCTCTGAGTACTATGGATGTTTGGAGAATGCTATCTACTTCAGTGATGATGAAGATGGGTATAAATTTAGGAAAGGAGTGAATGGTAAAGGTGCTAAAGTGTTGAAGCTTAATGATGGTAGAATCATCAATAATACTTCTCATAATTGTTTTCAGATGTTTTCTTCTCCTTTCCTCTCAAAATACTAGTTATGAGCAT